CACAAATCACAAAGCTGATTACATGGCCTCTAATGCTATTCATCCCACAATTTGAAAAACATCGTGCAATAACCAACAATTTCAAAATGACTGTAAAAATTGCCTGATACATTGTATCCCGAAGACCCTAAGTCTAAGGCAGTGTTTCTCAGCTGAGAGCATTTTGTCCCTCAGAAACGTGGCAATGCCTGGAGACAACATTGATTGTCACACAAGTAGTACGGGGGAAGGAGGGTGCTGCTACACATTTCACGATGCACAGGACAGCCTTCCGCACAAAGAATTAGCAGTTCAGAACATCAGTAGTGCCAGGGTTGGAAAACCCTGCTCTAAGGGCAGGAAGATGAGTTGACACTTCTAATCTACTGTACGTCTATTCAGAGTGATAGAAGCTTTAACCTGATCTTTCTTTTCATTTCTTTTTTCTTCGAATGGTATTTGGTACATTAAGATGAGGTTGGAGTCTAGTTGCCCTTGGGTTGCCTACAGAGGTACAGCCCAGTGGATACAAAGTACAAGGAATTAATCTATTTTCTTTTATTGAGATTGTACCAGGCCTTTTTGTTAGAATATCGTTACTGCTGTGTTTGGATTTCACTATCTGCCCCCCTCCCTCATTCCCAGCCTCCCCATTAAGCCATACCTACTTAGGACCCTTCCTCCCTCAGCCATAGCAGCTCTTAGAAAAGACGTGAGGAGGATTTGGCTAATGAGATTAGATGTGGGCCCTAAAGCTTTCTCCCCTACTCAAGACATTTGATTCTGCTGTTTTGATGGGAAATGACCTTCTGCTAACCTTGAAGTGCCATCTTAAGCCCTAGTATTAAACTGTTTCATTTTTTAGCCAAAGCTTCATTCCTTTTTCTGTAGCTATTTTAGACCAGGTTCCTTTGAACATGGGCGAGGCGTGCACTCCGTAATCCCTGCATCCTTTCTCCTTCCACATCTGGCATCAGAGAAGCTCTTGAATGTCTCAGTGTCAGTCTGTTGGTGGTTTTTTCTCCTTTTATTAGCAATTTCTGGGCCCACTAGTAAGGCTTCCATTTGCTCTGAATCTTTCAGAGATGGCCGGACAGAACAGACCTGGTTTGGCTTTTTTTCTTCTTTTTGGGAAGGTAGGATGGTAGAGGAAGTTATCTCTAAATCAAATATCAGAACTGGACCAGTAGTAGAAAATAAAACCAATGCTATTTCTCTACCATATTTACCTCATATGCTTGTATTACATAAACAATAACATTTGTATTTAGTAAATGATTTCTTATAAATAATTCATAATTCATTGTCAGAGGCTTATATGTGTGTGTGTATCCATCTGGAAACTTTAGATTTCTGTTGGCATAATAGTAAGTGGTAACCACAGGTACCAGAACCTTCAACATACAGATGTCATTCCTTTTTCTTCCAGATAGCTGTAGGGACACAGATTTGTTTTCAACCTTCTCACTCCTAGTTCAAGTATAGAAAGACAACATGTGGAACACAGAGATGAAGAGAATAATGAAACGGAGTGAAGTCCTGGCCAGGTGGCTCAGCTGTAGGAGCATCATCCTGTACACCAAACTGTTGTGGGTTTGATCTCTGCTCAGGGCACATACCTAGGTTGTGGGTTTGATCCTGGTCAGGGTGCATACGGGAGGCAACTGATTGCTGTTTCTCTCTCACGTTGATGTTTCTCTCTCCCTTCCTTTCTCTCTAAAATGCTTTGGTGGGGATTTAAAAAAAATTTTTTAAAGGAGTTAAGACATCAGTCTCTCTTTTCATACTTCATTGCCTAACCTCTTTGCTTTCTCTCTCTGCTCTAGCTCAGTTTCAGAATACACTGAGCAGGACTAGGGGTTGATAAAGTTAGGTGCAGCACTGGTGGTGCATGGATCCTCACTCTACAGAAGAACATAGAGTGATAGTACGGGAAATGGGGCTGGAAAGGGAGAAGGGATGATTGCAGAAACCTTCTCACTGTTGTCAGTTATGGTTCTGTGCCCGGTGACAGGCACGGCAAATGGGACGGGATCCCTGACGGTGGCCATTTACAACTTAAGAAAGGCATCGTGTGTAATGCTACACATGCCTTAGAACCTGGTCTGCCACTCACAGAATTTTTTGTGTTGTCTGAAGGGCAGGGCACTATTGGCAGTGGTAGTGGTGGTGGTGATTTTCTTGGTTTGGGCTTTATCGTTTTTTTCCTTCCAGATTGGGATATTCATCATTCGTGACAAGATACCATATCTCAGAAGTTCTATGAACAGGAAAGATTTATTGCCCTAGTCTTCTCCGTGGGCGCCTGGGGCTAGGAAATGAAACCAGGCTAATTCCAGGCTCCTGTCCAAGAGAAAGCCTCTGTTTTCCTTGGGGGAGGGAGGTGGTGAAGAACCTAGGCAAGAGGAGAACCCTGAAGAACGAATGTTTAAGTCTGTGGTACGAGGATGTGTGGTCTGCAGCTTTTACCTTCAGGCGTGAGAAAGAAGGAGCACAAGCTGTAGCACCTGCGAACCCTAGCAAATAGAAGCCACTTCCCGAACTGCACTCCTCTCTTTAGACAAGTCTGTTTTGTTTCTGCCAGTTTACACATCTGTGTTTCTTATATTCCTGGGACTGACTCTTCTAGGGCCTTCTGTTGATCAGTTCTGTACCTCGGGATCTATAGTGCTTGATGGTATCTTTGTTTTATGAGCAATTGATATTTTACTTGGAGATTTCCATTATCTTTCCAGTTCTGCATATTACCTTAGTCGAATCCCACAGTTTGACTTGACTCACTGACTCATCCTCATTTCAAGGGCTTATTTTTACTTTTTCATACTTTGATTCTTTTTCCCAATGTTCCCACTTAGAGTTTGATAAGTTGTAGTCTTTTAGAGTATAAAATGATAAATGTATATTTTGCCACATACTAAAATTTGTTTTGCACTGTGTCTTTGAGTTACTAAATTCCATAAAGGATAATAAAGAGGATGAGAGAAGTCTTGTGCCTATTGGGTGAATTAACATTAATTCTAAGTAATCAGGCTCATACATTGTGAGACATGCCCAGAAGATGACCGAGGTACCCAGAGTTGCTGTTGGGTGTTATGCTTAGTCTAGGAAAGGTTGGGTGAGTGCTGAGATACGTTTGAAGACTTGAGTCACAGGCAGTATTGGCTCCAGAGCACAAAAATAAGGACAACCTGGTTTACTGTATGTGTTTGCAAATGAGAAACAGAGCTAGAACTAATTCTAGCTGAAGGCTTCTTGTTTAGTTTAGGATTCTGGCTCATTGAAGGACTTACACATCTTGGTTGTTCAGTGCTAGCCCTTCTCCCTCAGGTCAGCTTGATGAGACCCGAGTGCACGTCCCTCACCTTAGCAGAAGTCACGCAAGTACATGTGGCTTGAGGTGAAGAAGAGAACCTGGGGTGAGAAAGTTGGGTCGCTTGCTTCTCTGCAGAGAACCCGATCAGGTCATTGTATCCATCGCCTTTGGTGGCCCTCTTCTATAAACAGGAACAGAAATTCTTGCTACTGGATCCCTTTCATCAGGCGTCTTAGGCTCGCTGAATGAAAAGCCCTATAAAAAGGAGATGCAGCCCTAATAATAACAAATACGATGGTGGTGGCTATTTTGGGCAAGAGCAGCTTTATACCGCTCTTGATCTCCACCGATGTGTGCCATTCTTGCCCTGCTATTACCTTTCAGACTTCCTATTCTTAGAATTATTTGTGAGCCCTGGACTTGGGGGATTGCAGCCCCCAAGGGTGGAATGCCTAGCTTGAGTGGAATGCAGACTGTCTGGTAGAGTGGAGGTTAAATAAAGTTTGCCTTGGCAGCCTCCTCTGCTCTTGGATGGGTGACAAGTAACTCGGGTATAGGACCGGTGGCATGAGCTGCCATGTAGTGCTGTACCAAATACTCTTCCACGCATGAGTAGAAGTGGTCGACGGGCCATCCCTTACAACCGCAGCCATGCCCGTCTCAACCGTAGTACATACTAAGGAGGCTTCAGCGGTCTTGAACCTCAGCTAGTGACCACATTGCTCTGAAAAAATGCAGGGACAGAGAGAGAATAAGGTGGAGATGCCTTGCAAGAACTGCAGGCTTGGTGCATATGCCCCCTCAGAGTACTAACTCATTTTTTGAAATTTAGACAAAGGGGGAAATTTTGTTATAATAAGAACATTACCAGTCAGTCAACAAACATTTCTAGAGCACCAAGGCACTGTGGGAAATTTTTTAACTCATCTTTATTGTTGAATGTATTATAGATGTCCCCCCTTTTTATTCCCCATTGACCCCCTCCTCCCCAATCCCGCCCCCCTCCTGCCTTCCCCACACTGTCGTCCATTGGTTATGCATATATAGTATAAAACACAGAATTCTTGTGGTGCTTATAATTCTGTTGGAAAAGTAAAGCTGTAAACACATAAGAAAATAATTTCTATTCCAGAGTGAAGTAGCAGAACTGAGTGCTAGTGGAGGTCTAAGGGGAGAGAAAGCACTTCCGTGTGGAGTGGTCAAGGACTGTTGGGGGGTGGAGGGAGAGGCCATGTCAGTGAGAGAGCTAGTACGAGCAAGGGCACCTGTAGGAAGTGCTAAAGACAGGTCACGAGGGCTTAGAGACCACCTGGGTGTACACCATGGCAGACGCCAGGTCTGTGTGCAGTCACCAAAGCCTTGACTGTGAAGGCTGTGTGTCCGCGTTACTGAGCAGCCCCAGTGCTTCCCACTGGAGGAGAGCTGGAGAGATGCTGCTGCCTTGTCCGGAGGCAGAGGCCCCTTCACTGTTGTGTTCTGTGAAATCCCTAATATGAGTTGTGGCTCACAGCGGACACTCAGTAAATAACAATATCGTTATTATTACTCATCTTCGAATTCTGTGATCCCAGGTAGTTGAATTGGCTTGGTTTTATTTGTGAGAGTTGGTGCTAACTTTGCTTTGCCCTATTCTGATTGCTCACGCAATGAACCCCTGCTGCACCCTTTCCTTCAAGTCATCTGACCTTTCTTTTCTCTTCCCCCACAGGTGGCTAGAAGTGCAGGTAGCTAATCTAACGTGTCCACAGTGCTGGGTGCAGTACCTCCAGCTTCTTCAGGAGTCCATCTGGCCTGGTGGGGTTTTGCCTAAGTATCCACGGCCTGGAAGGACCCAGGAGCAGAAGGTGGCAGCTGAGAAACAGGCTTTGCAGAGCCTGATGGGAATCCTGCCAGGTAATTGGACAGTGAGATCAATTATCCTAATAACTGTTCCCTTCCGATCAAGCTTTGCCACCATTGCCCCACACCCTTCCCCATTTTTAAAAGGGCCTTAAATATGGATAGCCTCAAAACCTGTTGACCCACCAATTCTCAGCCTAATGGGAACATGGTCAGGGCTGTGATTTTTTTTTTTTAAGAGAGAGAGGAAGGGAGAGGGAGAGAGAGATAGAAACATCGATGGGAGAGAACATCAATAGGCCGCCTCCTGCAAGCCCCCCACTGGGGATCGGGCCCACAACCTGGGCATGTGCCTTGACCGGGAATTGAACCGGCGACCTCTGGGTGCATGGGTCGACGCTCAACCACTGAGCCACACCGGCCAGGCCAGGGCTGCGAGTCTTTTGCTCCTCACCCAGGTGAGGACATGGAAAGGATCCCTGTGATCATACCAGAAACAGTAGGTGGGAATCCTGCAGCTACTGGGGAGATAACTGTGGGTCGGGACTGGGGAAGCTCTGCCTACACCACAGGGGCAGGTCTCAGAACCATCCCCACCAGATGAAGATTCAGGTTCTCTGACAACTCAGCATTTTGGACCAGGGAAGAAAATTATGTCCTGCAGAAGCTCAGCCTTGATAAACTGGGGACATTGAGTAAGGTGCATGTCCTTGGCAGTAGATAAAAACAAACTCTGAAGGGGGGTTTCTTTGTTTTGTACAGTTTTTCTAAGAGCAGGAAAGGCCGCTTGTCCGTGCGGTGCTGTGTGATCAGGTGCCGTATTGGACTCGGCTCTGGACGGGGTCATTTACCGTCGCTGACCTCTGCTCGCCAACCTAGACCGTTGCATCAGGGCTGCCTGCACGCTAGTGGCAGGTGCAGTCATTTCTTGAGGCCCTTCTTGCATAGACACCTAACTGAAGAAATGTTTTTTCTTAGCCTTTTCTGAGGATTTTTAGTTTGGCTATGTAGTTCAGAAGTATGCCCCCAAATTGCCACATGACGGAAGACAGCAGCTGTGATCAGGAGATGATACTGGCGCGCTATGCCCACACCTGCGTTTCCCTCTGCAGGTGTCGTAGTAGAGATCCTTGGGGCGAACAAGTGCCAGCTGAGCTGGGGGCTCATCCTGGAGTCCCTGCAGCAGCCCCTCATCAACAGGTAGGCTGAAAGTGCACCCACAGCAGCTCGCCGAAGCCGTCTGTGGTCTCGGCGCCCACCCTGAGAGGAACGGGCAGTCTCCTTGCCCGGGCCCTGACTGCAGACTGATGCCCAGGCCGCACACACGGAGGGAAGCCCACGCTGCGGCTCCTGGGCAGGCTGTCCTGTGGTGTAAGCTCGCCCTGGACCAGCCTGTGTCTGCATCGGAAGAACTCAGTGCGGGCCCGCGTGAGCTACTGAAAATGCCCTGCCCCCCTCCAGCCTTGTTCGGTGTGCTTAACAGTTCTTTCCACCATCCGCCAGCCTCTGGGAACAGCGACATCCCTGGTCTGCGCACTGCAGGCCGAATAATGGTTGTCGGCATGGGTGCGCGCCTCCAGCAAAGCTGGGAGTAGTATTAGGATCGGGAATTGTCTTTGTTTAATGTGAGGTAGGTAAGATAATGAGATTGGGCTTTGGTAAACTGACCAGAAATACTGGGTGAACACTCCTTGAGTAGTGCAGAAGAGGTGGGTGTTTCCCGGGCGGGCCTTGGGGCAGGTGCTCTGAAAAGTCTGGAGTGCTTCCCCTCCTCTCTCTAACCCTGTCCCAAAGCACAGCATTTTATTACCCCCATTCCTCCAGGGTCCTGGCCTTTGCCTCATCGCCTGGGAGGTGACCGGTGGGTCTGTAGTGATTAGTTACAAGAAACAGCGGTAGTCAGTGTCTCTGACCATTCCTAGAAAGTGGCTGTCCCTCCCTCACAGGAACAGGCTGGTGTGCCAGCGCAGTTATGTAAACAAATATGGAGTTTCCTAAAATCTAGTCTTAGGTTCTATTTCCACCTTTGCTGGGGTCATAGCCGTTTTTAGTTCAACACCTGGTTCCATGGCAGAGGCTATGTCCAGCTATTGAAGTTTAGGGTCCACTACGGATATCAGCAATGGGGGCGGAGGAGGGAAAACATGTCGCAAATAAGACCTGTGTCTCTCGACGGAGCCAGACCTTCCTCTAAGTTGTTGTGTCCATTTGTTTCAGACATTTGATTTATTGCCTCTGGGACATCATCCTGGAATTTTTGGATCTCAGTGCCTCAGTTGAAGAGTCTACTGTAACTACCGCTGCCGCAGATACCCCAGACAACCCCAAGAGGACGGGTGTCTCCCCTTAGCCGTTGTTCATGTGCCCATTCTTGGAACGTTGGGAAAGGAGAGTCACTCTGCCACCCAGAACTTGTCAGGAGGCCTGCGCCCGCCGCAGCAGGGCTGTGACTCAGAAGGCGTGGGTCTCTGGCAGTTCGCCCCTCAGTTCTCCATGTGAGGGGTGGTGGAGGGTATATGTACCAGTTGCATTCATGTCCAATTGTCATACCTTTGTTTTGTGGTGTTTGGAGTATTGCTGGTGGGTGGACTGTTTCCTGTGGAAGAGGACTCTGAGCCCCGTTTGCCTGGCCCTGTGCGTACATGCACCTCACCCACCAACATACCCAATCTAGATACACCAAGAAAAATAGCCAGATTTCCTTGGAGGAGAAGACAGTCTTCTGAGCTCCCTATTCCCAGCAGGAAACCGGAAGTTCATTCAGGACCATTCTCGAAAGCCAGATCCCTAGTCTCCCAGCAATTCCAGGAGAGGACGGAAGCATTTCTCAGGGGAGCCTTCTGGAGGGGCCATTTAGAGTGGCTTCCCGGGTGGCTGCACTGTTCCTGTGCAGAAGACTTCAGAGCAGCCTGCCGAAGCCTCTGGCAGGTGCATCCCGCCCTCCACACCCTTTCCTGAAAGAAAGCTGCGGCACAAATTTCATTGATTTTATTTCCTCCCCGAGAGCAGTAGAGTTTGGGCCTTTGGGACCTGTCTTGTCTTCCTTCAACAAAATCACATGGCAATTTGATGTTCAGCTCAGTGCTTCTGAAGGGAAGGGAGACACTTGCTCCGCGGCTGAGAATGCTCGGGGGGTGGGAACCACAGGAACGAGGGTGTCCGCACAAGTCCGACGGGACTTTTAATCAGCACCAGTAATGTTAGCAGACTTACAGGGAATTGATTGCCCACAAAAAGATGTTAACTCCCTGTTCTTAAGGATCTAGTTATGAAGGCAAAGGGCCTGTGTCAGGGTGCAGTATCTTTTAAAAAATGGAACAATTAAGCCTTGGCTAGGTAACTCAGTTGGCTAGAGCATCGTTCCGATACACCTAGGTTTCGGGTTCGATCCCCAGTCAGGGAACATACAAGAATCAACCAATGAATGCATAAGTAAGTGGAACAACAAATCGGTGTTTCTCTCTCACACTCTCTCATTCCTTTCCCTTATCTAAAATCAGCAAAAATAAAAGAATAAAAGTGGAACGATTAGCAGAAGTTGTCCGTAGAGGAGGCAGAGGGAAGATCGCAGGGCAGTGCTGTCCGTGAAATGCACGTGGATAGCCCCAGGGGGCTTCAAGGTGCACCGTGAGACCCTGGCTCACCCTCGTCCTCCAGCGCTGGCCTGTCAGAGCCGGCTCCCTGAGTCCCCGTCCTCCCGTTCGGCTAGGCCGAGGAGAATGGGCCTAGAACAGGAGAGGGATTCTGTTCAGCTGTGAGTAGGTGATGTGCACACAGTGAAGTGGTTTATGGAAGAAAGTTTTGAAATCCTTTTACTCCCTCCACCCTCCAGGCCGTTAGCCATAAAACTTGTGCTGCTGTCATTGAGAGGCTTTGGGTGTGTGACAGCCTGGAGGCAAGGAGATAGAGGAGATAGTGGCTCCTGGAGGCTTCTAGCCTTAAAAGTTGATCCTTACAGTGATTTCTGTGGCTCCAGAGTCCGCGAGCATCTCTTGCCTTTGGCCCACGGGCAGGAGCCCAGCGTGTCTGCCTGGTGAGCAGGAGCAGGGAGGCCAGCGGACTGAGAGCTGATCCTCCGCCTCCATCTAGGGACAGGCGGAGCCCCGTCTTCTCTTCTCCCCGCATACTTTGCCTTCGTATGTGTTAGTTTTGAATTTCTGTTACTAGTCCTGGCTCAGAAGTGGTATGAAACCAGTGCATCAGCTGACACAGCAGAAAATCCCTGTGGCTGTAAGTTCTAAGGAATCTTGGCACTTCCAACCCAAAGAAAATGTCGTGTTATATAAGAGACCCCACCTCTGCTATCTCTGCCCCAAAAAGATAAGCTGGCCTCATACCCTCCTACCCAGAGGGGAAATAATGGATATCGCCAAGGAAATAATCCAAACCCAACCTGCCAACCAGTTACTTGGGTAACAAGTTTGGACAACAAGGGAGCTCAGCACTTGGGAGAGAGCCACAGGTAGCAGGAAAAGATACTCGCAGCTCAGGAGATAAAAGGCGATGAGGAATTGGGCCTGCACTAACCCAGAACATTTTTATCCTTTTTTTTTTTGCCCTGCCCAGCCCATTCATTTTCCATAGCACACTTCCTTTCCTCATCGCACCCAACAACAGTTGTCAGGTCCTGGGTGGAGTGAAAATATGTGTAAACAAGGTCCCTAACGATAGGAGCTAGGATGCTTGGGACAAACTGCTAGGAAAATGTGCTTTCTTACCTGAGCAGGTAAGCTCGGGGCTTCATGGATTCAGCAACTCTGACCTCAGAAAGGGCCAGATTCTTCCCATCGTCCTGCTCTGCCATTGTACACGTGAGTCTGTCCTCAGACCATCTCTTCACGGTCGTTGCAGTTCGGGGCATCACATTCAGAAAGTCCACATCTGAGAGACTCGGGGCATCTTTTTTCATTTATTTATTTTTTTTTTAAGTAAAGAAACCATTTCCCAGAAGCCCTTCAAGAATCTTCTGGACTTGTTGGCCAGAACAGCCCACCCATGAGCCAATCCACTGACACAGAACGGCATTATCATGACTGACTGGCATGAGAAGTCACCCTCCGGGAAGGTTAGCTACCTAAAATAAAATAAAAAATCATTAGATGTGAGCAAAGAAGCAGAGAGTGTTGATAGATAGTGTCAGTTACGTGGCCATTCTGCCAGCATCAACAACTCCCCCATGACACTCCAAAAATACCCGGTACTAGCTAAGAGGCAGCATTCGCCGAAGGCGCCACTTGAAGCACTTCACATACGTTAACTTCACCCACACGCGAGCCCTGCAGGGAGGTTTTATGATACATCCTCGTGTGCAGATGAGAAACAGCGGAGGAGTTGTGACTTGCCCGCAGCCACTTGCAGGGAAACGGCAGAAGCGGCTGTAAATCTTGTTGGTCTGCCCTCGAGCCTACACCATACCCTCCGCTGATCTGCCTGCCTTCTTCCAAAGCAAAGTAAGACCGGGTTCTCACTTCTAAGAAGCCTGTGGTCTGGTAGAGGAGCCGGCACGCTTTTTTGGTAAAGGGCAGAGAAGAAGTATTTTGGGCTGTGTGGCGGTCTCTGTTGAGCCCCTCAGCTCTTCCATTGTCGCATAAAAGCACCGACAACTGACAGTGGCTGTGCGCCAGTAAAACTGGTTACAAAAACAGGCAGCTGGCCAGCTTTGGCTCATGAGTGGTTTGCAGACCCTTTGTCTGGTGAGCGAGGACGATGCGCATCGAACTTGTGTGTGGTTTACCCGGGATGTTATTACCCCGTTTCCCGTTTCGGAAAAGGAGGTGCAGCTCTGCCAGCGTTCACGTAGCTGTACATAGACACGCTCTGAGGCTGAAGCAGCTCTGACTGGTTTTCAATGTGAAAATAAAATATTAGAACTCTTCTTGGAGTTATTTCTAAACAGGACGTGCCTCTAATCCTAAGGTTACAGAAATGTCTATGATGGGTGGCAAACTCGGGATGAGGTTAGGGCTGATCCACGAGTTGTCTCGGGGCGAACGGGAAATGGGTGACAGGCCTCGTGCTGGTGTTCTCCAAGCTCCCAGACGTGTGCAAGGAGTGAGCTCTTCCAAGACACTGGGGACCCCGGGGTTAGAACAGACACTCCGGCCGGGTGTGATCGTGGAAGGGCACTTAACTGAGACTGGGGGACCACGGAAGGCCTGAGCCGATAATATCTGATAATAGAATTAGCCAGGGAAAGATTCGGGGGAGGGCGTCCAGGTGAGGGAACAGTGGACAACGTGAAGACAGTGGTCTAGAGGAACCAGAGCAGTCCAACCCAGAAACAGGTGGGCTGGTGGTCGTGGGAGGTCCAAGGGGGCAAAGAGGCAGTCACTGGGTAATGGGGGCAATTTCAGCTCTGCAAGATGAAAAGGTTCTGGAAATCTGCACAACAGTGTGAGTATACAGAGCCCTGCTGAACTACACCGAACATGGTTAAGATGGCATGTTTTATGTTATGCATTTTCACCAGGGTCAAGAAATTTCGGAGTAAAAGACACGGAGAGAGCTGCAGGCTGCCGCCGGCATGCGGGCCGGAAAGGTGCGTGCAGCCGGGCTGTGTGGCCTGGCACGCTGAGGAGCCTGGATCATTTCTCTGCACCGTGGGGATGTTGGAAGACTTTTCCCGGGCAGTAGTTTTCATCGTGGTTGACGATTCCAGGAAATTATGGGAAACAAGGGTTTGCACACACGTGTGAACAGCTTTCGGTCCTGACCCCATTGTCTGGACTGCTGTCTTAGTCACTTTCTGACCCCCTTAAATGTTTTCAAGTCTGTGCCTAATTCCTCCATGTGAGGCAGCTTCAGGGCTCGAGGAAGTGAAATGAACTTGAAATATCACTGAGAACTGATTAAAATCCTACCACTTCATCAGCTGCGAGGACATGGTCAGCTTCGCTGAGACTTGAATTTCTCTCTTAGAAAAAGGGACAAATACATCACAGCCTTTTTGAGAGATGAGCGAGATAATACATAAAAACAAGCGTTGGACACTCACAAGCGCTCTGCCCTGAGAACATCAGTGGCGGCGTCATCTCGGGCCTCGAGTCTGCGGGAGCAGGGGCGGTGCTCGGGCACCGCTTCAGCCGAGCTGCCTGGCCAGCCTCGGGTCCCAGGGCGCCCAGAATGCCGCTCACTCGTCTCCCTTTGCCCTGGAGCAGGAGGTGCTTTCCCAGGGAGGGAGGAGGCCAGCCAGCTCTGTTGGAGACAAGTGGGATGGGAACCAGGGAAGGAGTGATCAGCGGGGAGGGAGGGAACCATGATGCTTTCGCAGCGGAAGGCCCTGTTTCCTTTCCACTGGGGGCGCCAGAGTCATGGGCAGCGGCTGCTTCCACTGCGTCTGTGGGTGAGGAAGCCACTGCAAGGCCAAGTTCAGCTGGCACATCTCCATCGCCCCTGCCAGGTATGAAGAATGAACGATGCTGCTCCACCCAAACCCGTACTCAGGAGAGAGCCAGGCAGAAGGGACTGCCCCACACGTTAGTTTCACAGCCTAAGACTTGTCTGATAGTCCTTCTGACATAGCTCTTACTGAGCCAAACAGGACAGAAAGCCAGGAGAATGTGTCGAGCAGGAAACAAGTGAAAGCATCAGAACTTTTTTTCCTGGAGGAGATCTGGGCACCTGCAGCCTGTTGTCCAATGCGCCGAGCATGCTTGCCGCCTCCCTGTCCCTTCTCCCGTCTGGTCTGCACGCGAGCTGGAACTGCTCTCTTGGAAGGGAACCGGCACGTGAAGGAGACAGAGAGCCACCCTGGCCGGATGCTGTTCCCAGCCTGAGATCTGCTCTCTCCGCGTCCTGGTCTCCCACCTCTCCCGCGGACAGTGCCGCAGGAGTCACTAGCACGCTACTCTGGGATGTGGACGTTGGGAGGGGAAAATGGCAGAAAAAAGTAACAATCAAGATCCAAACTTAGAAAACATTTCTTGAAGTGACATTATCTACTCAGTTTAACCCAATATAGACCTCTTTGTCGCTAGTCGGTGTTTGGAGCACGGCGAACTGATTTTAATGTTAGAGTATTATAGTGATTCAGTAAGGGGGGCGTATACAAACCCACACTGTGGCCTTTTCCGTCCCCTGATGGCCCATGTCACAGTGGCACCCTATGTGATTATGAACAGTGGAGAATTGGCTATAATTACTTCCAGACACTTGGATTCATCTATGGGGGTAAAGACCAAGCTAGATGAACTCAAAAGTCTGTGATTGCAGTTGGAGGCACCAACGTCTGCAGAAGCTATGACTTCTCTGTACTGGACTGCACCGGGTCTGGTGGCCTGGAAGGCCGGGGAAACAGCCTGAGCCTGTGCCCTTGTTAAAGAATCCTGCCCCTGCGCTCATTGACACATTAACTGTGATTCAGCAACATGTCTGCATTGCACATCTGCCATTAGG